ATCCGACTGAAGTTGAAGGTCTTCCCATTTGCTCTGCTTGATTGCCTTCTTTTTCGGCTTCCAAGGATCTTCAATCTGCCATGGGTCTGCTGTCGTGATTGGAGCATCTGTACCTGTCTGGCCTTCCATTCCTCCCAATGAGACTGCTGCACATGGTTGCAGAAAATGAATACCTCCAACAACCAAGAAGAGCCGGCGCAGATTCTCAGCAAAGGCCCTGAGCATTGGTGGCGCTCCTGCAACTCTCCATGCCTGGTTGGCTTCCTCAAGAATGACGTCAAGAATTTGCCGTTTCTGGTGAGGCACATGCAACGAGTCTGGCAAGCGCAAATCAACCACAATCCATCGGTGGAGTAGCTCCCAACCACACATGCCAGGACGAGTTCGATTAGTGTCAATAATGATGACTGGGCGAAAGCCAAAAGGAATGATGTGATCAATAGCAAAGTCATGCCAGAACTGCTGATCTCTCGGTGGGACTTGCAGGAACACAGCACGACATGTTCTCTCCTCCGGGTTGCATACCACCTCAATGCCTATCCAGTGTCCCTCACGAAGAGCAACAAAGCGCTGAACTTCAGAGCAGGTCGGCTTGACACTTGGTGCAATCAAAGAGAGATCATGATGTAAAACTGGTGGACAAAAGGTGTCAGGGAGAAAGAAGCTCATGGCAAACTCAATCTCATCGCTGGTAGCCCACCCTGGGTGAGTCCTGTAGATATTGAGACGCATGTCAAGCCATTCCTCTGACACAAAGAAGATCTCACGAACATCATAAGCATGAATCTCCCTGCCTGTTGCCCTAAGGAGGAGGTCAGAAGCGCGGCTCGGTGATTCAGTGATTGCCAGGAGGAAGGCAGTTCGGGCAGCTTGTGCGAAGTGGATCATTCTGTCATCGGCCCTTGTTTCCCTCCAAACGAAGTCCGATTGATCAATGATTTGCATCACATGGGCCGAATACTGATCTCTTTGAAGTCGCTGTGTGCTTCTGTGTGAGGTAGGAAGCAATGGTGCCCCGGCACGAGCATAGAATGTCCGGAGTGTGTGCCAAGTTGCAAGCTCAGAATCTTCTGCAGTGCGTACCCATCTGTAGGCATTGGGTGCAACCTGGATTCCCATGGTATTGACCAGCTCCAGAATAGCAGTCGATTGCCTGATGGTCAGCTGTTCTGGTGAGTGATACAACACTCTCCACTGTCCCTCAAAGAATCTGACCTCAACAAAAATCCAATCGAAGACAACCAGGATAGGGACCACAAAGTGCTGGTAACAGCGCTGTAGATCAGTGGGTTGCACCGGGAATCGAAACTGTGATTCATTGTTGATCCAAATAGCCGGAGGGCACCAGCAAATTGAGGGCATCAGGGTCTGCAGAAAGTCAAAGTGGAAGACCATTTCATCAAGCGCCAGTGCTCCTGGCTCAAAGTTGAATTGGAGCAGCCGAGCGTTCATAAGATCATTTCTGACATTGCAGCTTGGGTTGTCAACGAGACGATCCATGCCTCCAAAGGCGAGTGGAGTCCCTTGCCTTGCAGGGGCACCACTCCATAACACATCACCGTTGATGAGCATCATTGGCTGATCGGGTTGGCACTTGACCAGATTTCGCAGGGTGATGTCACATTCTTGGCCAAGCAGCTCATTACACTGGCGTGGTGTAGTAGTTCTTTGAGCCTGGCATATCTTGCACCAGCGAAGGGCCTGGCCTCCCGCAAGCAAGACCCACTTGGCAGAACTGACCGGATCATAGGTGCCCTGTATAGCCATCACAACATGGATGCCTAAAAGCTGCTGGCATGCATCTTTATTGGCTTTGAAGAAATGCATAGCCTGGCCTTGGTGCCGGAAGGAAGGGATACTCCCCAGGCGCTCAAGATTCGCATCATTGATCCAGTCAAAGCTGCCATCTTGTTGCAGAAAGAGAACTCGACCTTTGTACTGTGGCTCAGCATCTTGGCATAGATACTCCATGGCATGGAGGAATCCACATTGTTGGGCATCCACCAATTGATCAAGTCCTGGGTCAATCTCATCACCTCCCCATGGTTGCGTAGGGGAGATAATAGGATCAGCATCAGTGTGATCAGTGCCTGTTCTGACAATCTGCAACGTACACAGCATGTGTGGCCCGAGTTTGGCAACGACATCCCCACATGGAAGATCATCCCATTGGCTGCTGGCAGGCAAGCATCGTCCATCAAAGAAGAGCTGAAGCAGAGGTGTGTGGTGAGCCCCCAGATCCAACTTCTCGAGGAAGAAGGAGATAGCATCATATCCTGCCGGCACATTCAATGGCACCAAGCTCAGGTCATCACCAAATCTGATCAGGGTTCTACCTGCAAGCCAGGGCTGCCAGGTCACAATGCTGGGAAGGGCTTTGGCCACAAAATCAGCAAACGGCTGCAGCACGAACATGTCATCCCACTGTCGAATGAAGGCTTTGTCAACAGTCAGTCGAACCTCCCAACGCTGTTGCACGAGAGTCAGCTTAGGGTAAATATCTCCAGAGACTCCTTCAAATGCAAAAAGAATAGCAACCAAAGCATGGAGCTGAGAGATTGCATTGCCAAGTTGATGAAAGGCTTTCCGCAAGTCAGTCGGCAATCCAATGGAGTCAGATGTGCCAAATAGCGTGACAAAAGTAAATGGATCAATGAACCGAAAGCTTTCTCCATGTCGAATCAAGGTGGCAAAAATTCCTTTTGCATCCAGGTGGTCTCTTTGAAGACAATGCTGGCCAGTGTATGAGGCACATAGCGTAGGAAGATAATCCCCTGATTGTAGGAGGCGCTGCTCTAATACATCCTGCATCAATGCATCTTCAGCCACACGTGTTCTCTTACTCGGTGGAAGGAGCATGCGATCCCCATATACTTCCAACTGCTCAGGTTTGAGACAAAGGGCATCAATCAAGTCCCCTGGCAGGTGAAAGAGATGTTTGGGATCATCCCAGGGAACACGCTTCACAGCAGAGCAGGCAATGCGTTCTGTGATCTTGTTGCTTTCAACATCCTGGCGTGCCCATACGGCTAGCCATCGGTTGCGATAATTTCCAGTGAGTTGATGGATGGCAACGTCTTGCGACCATAGCTTCTTGTACCCACTCAACTGCAGCGCTGCTGACAGGGCTCTCCAATGTTGGTGTGCCTCAATGCCGTCTGAGCACTCAAAGATGGCAAGCACTGGCCGAACTTTGGCCACATGGTGGATCGCATCAAGGAAACAAAATCCTTCATCTGTTGCCAAACCTGAGTTACGCCCCCCTCTACTCCAGCTTGGGCAGGGAGGCGAGAGAGTCATCACCAGATTAGACTTATTCGAGGTAGCTCTTGGAAGAGTGGTTTCACTGATGTCTGCGCAAATGCCATTGAAGACCTCAAGGGAGTTATAGCCAACCTCAATTGGGGCCTGCTGGACACCATGTCCATGGTTGAAGCTCCAAGTCTTCATTACCTCAGGGCACCAGTCAACTGATGTATGCGTGGCAAAGGAGTAGCCCAGGTTGGCCTGCTGCAACCACCACATTGCCCGCAACCACCCCTCATACGCTCCAGCAAACAGGTGGCTGACATTCCATGCAAGGTGTTTGTCAAATTGAGGGAGGTTCCATAGAGGAACAGTGGCATCCGCAATGATCTTCCCTGTCTGCAGTCGATGGTGCGGCTGCACATGAACCCCAATCCTCATGCCAACTGACAGGTCAACACGATCATGCTTGATGGGACAAATCAGGTCGAAATGAGGCCACATGTCCCCAACCCCTTCATCAGTCAGCAGCATAGAAGTGCGGTGAACCTGAACATGCAACGGGTTCGGGCTCAGCACCTCAGTCACCTCACCAAAGAGAATCCAGGCATCACCTGCAGCTTTGCACTCACCTGTAGTGGCAATGGCAAGCAGTGCCTCACGAACCGAGGCACTCAGGCTATCAGCCATGCCCATTGTGGCCCAGTCCACAAATCCCACTTTCGACTTATGTCCATCATGTCTCGTCGTACCCGTAGTGTCCATGGCGGTTCTCAAAGCTGAGGAGCTTCGAGTCTATTGACGCACCACCCCGACCACGGCAGGCCAGTAGCAGTGCCGCGGCCCACGCACGGGCGTGAGGCAAATGGCTTTGGGCCGAGATGCCTCGGGGGAGCTTCCTTGAAGAAGCGCTCGCACTATTCATTGGGTTCCTCAATTTTGAGGGAAACCCAACAGCATCCTGCTGACAGCATCTTATACCCAAGCTAATTTACATGTCTTGTTTCATCACCCGTCGTACTTGGGGTGTGCCCAGCCGGGTTTGTGTTCATAACTCCGATCACCCGTCGTCACTCCCCGTCGTCGGTGGGTCACTGCAGTATCACCAGACGAAAAGCAACTCTTGCTTGCTGAACATAGCTATCAAGCTCCGATAGTTGATCTGGCATTATATCACACTTCAGTAAAATAGCTATCAACCATCGCGAAACATGCACACCACACAGAACATACACATGGATATGATTATAGCTATAATGTGTACTGTAGGCGGTTATGTAATTTGTCTACATGTATACTGCATACTGAAAGTACTAAACTTTGTTGCGGCAGCTCTGCAATAATGAATCGCCTTCAAATGCCGAGAGTGATATGCACATGAATTCATACTGTCAGCAAATCCCTCTTTTGATTGCATATTGAGATACTGAACGAATACTTGCTCGGTGGGATTCGCGATGGATACTATATATTTTGTATCATCATAATCCAGCCCGCAGCACAGACTTTCTCCACCGCTGCCTTGGGCAAATTTACCATCTCGGAACTCGCACTCTCGTAGGGTGCAAATATCTCTGAATCGGATCTGGTCTGCTCACAGTCAGATACAAACAAAGGTCAGCAGTTGCACCCTACGAGGGTCGGGAAAAACCTCTGGTTTTCTACAAGAAACCAGTGGTATCGATGTTCCTCGTGTGCTTCCGAATCCGGCTCCGGTGGCTGGATGTTTTACAGGCTCCGCAAAGCTGCTCTGCTCATAAGCTCGTGGCAGATGTTTTTCTTTTGACGGAACCTGGATCAGAGCATGATAAGGCCGTACTGACATGATCCCAAACAGGAGAATCCATACGCGATGTCCTTGGCATGCTGAAGCTGACCATGATGGTCACCGATCCATTGATCGAACGCATCAGTTGCATACTGCCTGAGATGTCCACCGGTTCACGAGTCCAAGACATGGGCATTTCCTTGAAATAGTAGATCTTCCCTGGCAAATCTTGGCCTCGGGATTGCAACACGGCCTGAGTATGAAGTCCGCAAAAGAGCTGAATGGTGGGACTTGCAAAGATCTCCTGAAGCGGCAAGCCCACGCACCTGAGTCCGCAATTGAAAGCCAGGAATCGATAGGAAGCGACTCTGTATTGGTATATCCTTTTGTTAGCTTACTTTGGGGTATTTGGGGTCACCATATTGCAAGAACGAAGTAAATGAGAAAACCATTAAACATTTGCTCGTATTCCAGTGAGCAACGCCTCCAATGGCGCGGATGCCGCATGGATCTTCATCTCTTTCATGTCGACTTCCAACATGGTTTTCTGTCCTTTTTCCGCCACTTCGTACATCTCTTCCATCTCCAGAACCTGGCATTGGAAGAAAATTAAGAATCACAAAAACAAACAAGCAGAAAAGCCTGCCTGCTGTACGAGTACTGACCCAAGAATGTCGCTCAATTTCTCATTTGGGGCTGCTGTTGCAGCCAGACCTTCTGAAATCATACCCCCAGAACAAGAAACAAAGGAACCTGCCAACAGATACACCATCGCCAAAAAAAACTGCACACTCCACAAACGTAAATGGATGCGTTCATTGCCAATCCCTCGTACCCATCCCTCAAAGGCAGCGACGCGATTCCCCACCGGTCACCTGCCTCCTCGCTGTCACACACATCCGCCACATCCTCCTGATCCTCCGCCCATCCGTCACACGGCTTGGGTGGATGGTCTGAGAATTCACGCACTCCAACCAAATGGCAGTGCTCTCCGTTCATCTGCGTGTACTTTACCTCATTCTCATTTGGCGGACGTGGCCCAGGTTGGGCACGTCAGGACGCTCTGAAGATCAGCCAACTAGTCTGGCAACAAATGTGAAGGGAATCGAAAACCCGCCCAGGTTGCCAAAGGTAATCCTGCAACAACATTTACCGTAGTAACATGCTGGACTCTTCTTCCTCGTATCGTGGACATCCAGGATCCATTCCATGCAGCAGCTGGAGAGTGCCCGATCGCGACGGCCGGTTTGGGGTCAGGCTCCCACGAGGAACATGGTGAGGAACATCGCCATGTGTGGAGAGCTTTGTTTCATGGTTTCCTTCTCAAAGTCTTGCATCAAGCATGATCGTCCAAACAATGATTTATCACTACGCATCAACATGCCACTGAGAGCCCTCTTCCTTTAGTTATCTTGATTTCCTGATGCTTTTCAACCGAAGCTTTGCTCCTTTTTGTCAGAACCCTTGCACCACAAGAGTTCTTGTGCTTAACTTCCATGAAGAAGTGTCGCTTCAAAAACGTCCAATGGTCACCTTTACGGCCTTTGCGAGTTATTTTAATGTTGGCAACAAATCTTGAGGATATAGAGCCTTTGCCTCTCTTTGCAAGTAAAAAATATCCAGAGTTCTCCCTATATTATATAGAGATGAGCTCACTTGCGTCGACCCGACCTTATCTCACCTTCCGCAACATCAGAATCATTCAAAGCACCTGAAACACTTCAGCCTCCAGCTTGGTGGAACATGAGTCCACCAGCCGCGTGTGGAAGGCGTGCGCCACCGCTCTCTGCGGAGCCTCCCCCACGGTGCGCAAGTGTTCGTCGGCACGCGTGGCATCCACTGAGGGCATGAGGTCCAAGAAGCTCAGACCCTGCAAGTCGCCTCAATCGCCAAGTTCTACGTCTCGGCGAATGCGGAAGGATAGTCCGATCCATTTCGAGCACGGACAAAGGGAGGTGAAGGGTGTTGCCTGGTGTATAATCGGGTTTCTTCAAAGTCTAGTCTAGTTGCCTACATGTCACACTCCCAAAAAACAGCTGTCTGCGGTGTATGCCATGTGTCCCTGAACCATTTAAGTTCTCTGCGCGGTCTTTAAAGCATTAATTACGTCTCCAAAACAAGACTGGAAATGGCAGGTACTGACCCAGGGTGCTTGGGGGAATTTCCCCACTTGCCGGTGAGAATTCACTTCTTTGTGCGAATACTTCAACGAGCCGAAGCGGAGCCCCAGCGGCTGGATTTCAAAAGCATCGCCGCAAGGGCCTTCGAGTGATTCCGCAAGCAAAAGGATTCATCGAGCTCAACGACTGCGTCACACATCAGGCTGAGCAATGTGGAGGCTGCCGAGAATTGAGTCTCCTTGGAAGTTATTGGCAAACCAACATCATGTGGCAGTGGTGTAGCGGTGCAGTGGACTCCCTATCCGTAGACCAGTCCTCGAGGAACAAGTCTAACTATTATATATCAATACTATAATACTGTCTAATTCAATGACTGTTATGAATTATGTCTTTCATCCGTTTCATCATCCCTATGTCTCCCTGATTCTCCTTGGTTCATCGCCTCAAAGAGGGAAAACGGCGGGACCGTAACATAATCCCCCAACCGAACCGATCCGTACGATCTGACCGTCTCAGCCCGACCACCGGCCGCCATCTGTCCGTACGTATAAGCACCCTAAGATATCCTAAAGAAGACTTTCTAGGATATCAGTACAGTGCTCAATACAGTTCAGTACAAAACTCAATTCAAAATAAAAACACCAAATCATCTAATGCCTTAAACGCAGCTCAGCTTCCGCGTTTGCCTGCTGCATCTTGTACTCCACCTGCGCGCACAGTCAGGGGTGATGATCCCGTTTGAACCACTACCCATCAGGGAGATGTCCTATCAGGGATACAGTATGTCCGAGTCCATTCGTGGTGCCCAACCCACGACGGGAGCACGGGATGAAACCACCACACAGTGCCACGACGTATCGCCGGGGCGGCATCTGCAAAGCGCATCGACCTTTGAAAAAGAACCTGGATCGATGGATTGTTGTTTTTGTGCGGCGGTTTTTCCAGGAGGCACACGCACACCAACAGCCCCCCTTAAAAAAAAAAAAACACACAAAGAATGAGAAAGAAATGGTCTGCACCCGAGTCGCCTGATGGAGGAAGGAATAGTCTTAACCAGCCTTAATCCTATTGACGGTCTTTCAAAGGCCAACAAGTTGTGGAAGCTGCACTGGTACGCGGGCTAGGTACGGGCAAACAAGCGTGTTTTGTCGCCCGTGTGTGGCTAATTACGGATGAAACTTCATAGCCAGATCCTCCAATTATATAGTGTTCGACCCTCTGTGTTAGTAAACATTGCAGGCATGTATCCAGAATCTGAAAGGATCTTGTTCAATATCCCTTGAATGGTTGTTGGAAGAAGTTGGATGGTTTCGATGATTCTTCTGGGTGACAGAGTTGGTGAGTGTATTATTGAAAGCTCGGAAGTAACATTCATTGAACATGCACCATGTTTTACCAGGTGCAGCGGGCTATATTGATTCTACTTGGTAATTACAGTACTCTGCAACATTCCCGGAGTTGAAACCCGGATGAAGTTTCCCATCTTCAAAATTACAACACTGCAATTAACTCAAGGCTCAAGGAAGGATTCGTATCTACTGATGTCGCTTTTTACAACTTATGCAGCTGCCCTAGGGTTGCCCTAAACAGTATCCTGCCCTTTGTGCAAGCAGTAGAAAGACCTTAAAAGCAATTCTTGAAGAACGCGCATCAACAACTAACTTCATCTTCAGCTCCTGTCTTGTCCCACGAACGGACCCAACGACCCCATGACGCGCCAAGGCCCCGAAATCACCGTTGCCCCCTTGACGCTTCCCGGAGGCAGGGAAAAAACTCTGCCACTTCGCCGGATGAATTCGACTGGTGGTGTTCTGACCTCGCCGTTTTGAAGTCTCATGCACCCTGCAAAACGCGGGTCAACAGCACCTTTCGAGCGAGGAGAGATCGCAGCGCGACGCTGAAGGCCAGCGTGATGGCGAAGGTGGAGAGTTCCTCAGGTGTCGTGGTCCGAAATGGGACAGCCAAACAATCGCATTGATAAAATAAGCTCTCTTCTTAATCTTCCTCGTCCATGGGAAGAACTGGCAACATCGAGCACAAAGCCTCCCACAACTTCGCAAGAAAAAGCCTACCCCACAAGTGGGTAGGGCTACTTTTGTAGATCACCCCTCTAAAAGACTTAAGCAACATCATGCAACATCAGGCTGGAGGACGCACAGCTAGGGCTGTGGCAAGCGCAAAGCGCCGCTTGCCGGTGTAACTTGGCAACAACTTGGCATATCCCATCTCAGCAAAAAAAAAGGTTCATCAAACAACGCACATTCTCGACCCCAAGATTGCACAAGCAAATGACAAACAGTCCAACAATGGACAAACAGTCCAGCTGTTTTGTGGGTATGGTTGGTCTTCTCCATGCTGCTTTGTTCGCAAGCAACTGCTTCATTTGTTGAAGGTCCCAATCTAGAGTGATGCTACAATGCATACAGTAAATGTATAGAAACAAGTTCCAAAGCATCTGGTCTACCTGCCGTCCATACTTCTGATGTAGATAGGACAAGGAACTTGTCAAGAATCTGGAAACATTATACTCAGTTGTCTGTTGGAACTCTGCCAAGTGATACAGTGATACAGGTCAGGTGCTCAACTTCTGATGGTTCTTGGAAAATATGATACAATACATTCAATCAATTTGGTCAGCAGGTAAACCTAGAGTATGTTTCACCAACTTGAGCCAGTAAAATCATATGTTGATAACTGGCTTTGTTTGAGAGGTATGTGGTTCATGTCAACTAGTGACGAGAATCAATGCAAAATTGCCAGAGCTGCTGGATTCTTTCTTCTCACACAAGCCAACAAACAAATTGTTCCAAACAAATAGCTCCTCGGGGCTTAAGAGTGACATCATATATATATATATACACACACTATATAGATTACAATATCATATCATACCATTACAGTAACAAGTTGTGTTAGTATCATACCTGTACTAAAACTAGTACCCCACCTCTGCCCATCAGTACCACTCAAGCCCTTCTTTACAAGTTTATTACTATTTCCTCCCCAAACGGTTCTGAAAGCAAATTTGTCAATGAATTGGAAAGACAGTCTATCTCCGCAATTGTTAAGGTCTGTCCAAGCAACACCCCGCAACACTCCTATTTGGTGTAGGATGGCGATCAAACCTAAAGAAGGAGGTCAGCATGTCAACAGTGCATCACAAAAAGAACATATATATATAGAGAGAGAGGGAAAGAGAGAGAACGGCTCAGGTCGAAACATATCGAAACTACTATGGAAAACGAAAAGCATTTCCAAACTAGACATTCCAACAACAACTTGGTGGTAGTGGTAGCAAGGACGCTACTAGGTTGGAGGCCATCGCTACTAGTAGCAAGAAGCTACTAGTGTATGTTTCATCTTTACATTCCAAGCATCGATCCAAAGCACTACGTAAGCCGATCCAAAGGTCCCTTCCTCTTCGAGATCTTCATCTGGCAAGATTGGCCGATGGATTTGATCTGGGACTGCGCCAAATGGACACCTCCCAACCCTTAGCAAAATAAACGGGAGCACAATGAATACTGGAACTTAACAAAACATGGGCCTAACCATGGACACAACGATCTTTTATAAGATCTTTTTCCAACCCAAATATACCAAAAGCTATGTGGTCAGAGGCTTCTTGCGGTTAGATCTGGCCTGTCCTTCGTCCAAACACGGAGTCATGCCGAGTCGGAGAGTTGGGGAGCCTTTTTTCTGTTAGATCTTCGGTCCTTCTTCTTTGAAAACTTTGGTTGTGCTCAACCACCACCAGGCCACACCAGCAATACCACATACCACGGCGAACACCATCAACCACCACCACTACCACCAACAGTCCCAACATACAACAAGGGCCCACCATGGCCCGCCACACGACTACTAGCGACACACCACCATGCTATGCAATTCCAGCTGTTAGGTGAATCGGTGTTGTGTCCATGGCATTATTACATAGACATAAATCGTTGTGCTCCCCCGGCGACTGCAACGACCCCAGGACATCTGGGCTGCTCAAAAGACTCAACTGTAGAACCTGCCTCTCCCGGCCAAATGGTGGGAATCGTCAAGGAGTTGAATTTAGATGTTGTGTCCAAACATGTTCTTGCTTGGTTGGGATGAGAAGCACACCTCGTTGGATCCTAGGAAGTTGGAACTAAGAAAGAATATCACCCCTGCAATCACCTCAAAATGATGGTGTCAGTGTTTTTGCTCAACCGGAGTTCCTCTTCACCGGTCCGGACTTCGCCCTCACCCCTCGTTTGGTCGTCACGACCGTTCACGTTTGAAACAACTCAAAGCTCAACAAGACAACTCGCGGTCCTTCCATTCGTTGCAACCAGGTCTGCACATGTTGCAATCAGGTCTGCCAGCCGAGTTGCTGTAAGCACGGTAAACGGTCAGTGCCACAAATGCCGTGTTGCAAAGGAGTACCAAAGAGGTGCGAGTGCACATGATCACTGCAGGCAACCGGAAGAAGACAAATAGGATCAAAGCCATGTCTGCTACAATCTCCTCAGTGTCTCAGAGGACCAATATAGAGCATTTTAGTGCATTTAAGGTACACGTTATATTTAGTTGTAGTCCCTTAGAAGCTTTGTACCATAAGTAGTAGGAGTACATAAGCAGCAATTGTATATATTTACAGTATATATAACTATTTAATATACTATATGCAGTAACCGCCCCTGGTACATTTGCTTTTGGGACATTTAAGTACGTTGCACAATTATCAGGGGGAACCGTACCATACATGTGCATATCAAAGCGTTGTCAATAATGAATCAATAACATGCACGGTCCATATGTCTGCATTAATTCAATCAACATCGAAATGGGCACGTAGTTTATTCTGTCATCAAGTCTCTGCTGACCTACGTACACATTTATGTGCTTAAGAGGAATCTGAAAGCGAGTCATAAGAACAGTGCTAACCAGCCAAAACAGACACCTCACGGCGAACCAAAAGAAGGTCCAAACTAATGAATCACTACAAAAGCATCCAAAAGGTACCAAGAATTCAATAAAACACAGTTTCAGGTCCATCTCTGGATCAATGACCAATGCGTGGGTCTTGAAAATATCCTGAAACTTTGGTTTTCTTATTCTTTGGGTTCCTTCTCAATGTTTTGGCATGCCTTCATAATACCCTTCCAGAGATTGCGATTGGTTCGGATTGGTGTGGTCCAAAAATGGACCTGAACAATCTGGTATGGCCGGCACCCTTTTCGATGCGTTGTGGCTGATTTGTTTTGGCTTCACAGGCATTGGTGTAATACTGCTTCCCAAGAGTTGGATGTGTCTGAAAGACTGTTGGTAAATCAACAAATACATACACATTGGATTTATTGAACTGATGTATATCAATATCTCTATATATATATATTGTTGATTCCTATTTAGGACGCGGATGTTGCTCCAGGACGTTAGTTTCTCTTTATATAGGACCCAAGTTCAAGCCAAATAGGGCATTGGTTCAGCAAGTGCCAACTCGTTTAAAAACACCTGAGAACCTATAACAGCAGGCTTAGAAAAGTATTCCCTTAAAAGAACACAGCAGCCATTTTGCGAAGAACAGTTCTTTCACACGATTCCTATGCTGATCTAAGGCTTCTTTTCTGATACAACACAACGATTTGTGCAGAGGCTCATGTGAAGGACACGTATTTGCGTCAGGATCCTATACTGACCTTACCAAGTGTGAAACAGCGCTTATTTTGAATGCATCCACTTCGCTCACCCTTCTTGTTTCATACAGTGCAAGGTTCGCATATTTTTGTTGCAAAGAATTCTGAGCTTCTAGCAAAACCATTGCAACGCCCACAACTTTGAACAATGCCAGTAGGCAATCCTGTCTTGGAGTGCTTAAAAACTGCAGCAGTGAATAAAAAGATATGCAATGGGGCGGGGTTGCATACGTCATATGTATATATATATACAGATTATATATATACCTAGGAAACTAGACAACCAAAAAGAAATGGTCGAAGACCACTTTCATTTCAGAAACGGTCGTTTGCAAACATGCTGTTTTGCTACAACCGCATGTGGTGAAGCCATTGCTGTGGAATCCTTCCCAAACAAGACATTTGCAGCATTGCTTCCTTTTTATTTCATTTGAGCTAGTGCCATCTCCATCGCGACTAAATACCTGTGCAAAATCTTGGCTCCGTGTGCCTTTGCCGATACTCTTCGGGACATCCTCGCCACATGACCCACAAACGTCTCACACTGGAATGTACTGTGCGCCAACATGTTCACAACAGAGCTCGCATCAACTCGGTATTGGACCAAGGCCATATGGATCAGGTGGCAAAACATATGCAACTTTGGTTTAATCTTGAACAAACACAACTGACGGTCCAGGCTGCAGCGAACCAAAAGGATATACATCCTGGCAAACTCGTACCCCCTCTCTATCACCTTTTCAGCTTCATGTTTTGACAGCCAGAAAGAGCCTTTGAACAAAGTGCGTAGAAGAGCGCCCGCTGCACGACATGCTGTCAGAATGTATTCGAGCATTTTGTCTTTCTTCAAACCATCGTTCTGTTCAAAGTTGCTTTCAACCAGGTACTCTACAAATTTTGTAAAGAAGCTGGAGTCGGCGCCTTTCGACCAATGTCCGGAAGGGTATGTGCGTGTAGACTCATACCCCAACAGATCCAAGCTCAAGTGAGTTCCAAAGTGACATCTTTCTTTCTTGTGTGATGCTTTGTAATTTGCAAGTTCCTGGTCCACCTGATTCAAGCTTGCTTTGATCGACCTGGCAGAATAGACGGTCTTAGCAATGTAAATGATTGATGAAGCACAAAAGTCCTTTGCAACACCCAAATGCCAAATATGAAAGAGGTCAGGCAAATAAAAAGATGCCAAGCTATCTTGGTCAACCGGAAGCCACTCAATCATAGGCCCTGGTCTTAGCCAAGGCAGAGGATTCAGCGGGCCTGTCGTTTTAGTCCACTCAGCATTGAGGATATCAACGTCTTCAAAGGGCGGACCATGCGTACGCCCCGCGTCACATAACCAGCAAATTCCCGGAAGAAGAGTTGTGGCTTTCGCGCTCTTCCGGACATTGGAAAAGCTCCTGGTATGGTAGCCAGCCTCTCTCAAAAAAGGCGCGTCACCGGTCATGCCAAGTACGAGGATCTTCCATGTCTCACCTTTGTAAACAAAGCCCTCCTCAAACATCCCAAGCATGTATCGTGCCCAAGTGCTCATAAGTTCATGAAAGCGCTGAGGATGATCTTTGTAAAACTCTGTTTTCATTGCAGCATATAGGAACCGATTGGCCAACGTGCTTCCGACCAAATTGATGCCGGGGTCGAAATCGCCATGGCCTTCTGCATGCGGGCGCTTGACACCGCGGCCAGGCATGGGTCGCAGGTCAAAAGAGTTCTTTGCTGTTCCCTGCCCAAGTGCCGGAAACATGCTGCAAATCAAAATCGAATCTTTCTTATATGTCCGACCTCCGTCACCATGGAGGTAGTATGGAATCAAATGTTCGAAGTCCACAGCGTCCATTGAATGAACATCATGTTCCGGATATTGTATTCTATGCCTCTGCCAAAAGTCCAGAAGAATCCTGTCAGAGTGAGCCACTGGGACCCCAAGAACCATATGCAGGTAACCACGGTCAGCAAGGGCTTGCAGTACCCTTTTTGGAGGCAAGCATGGATAGGAGAAGCCCGAATCAAGACTGATGTTTTCCTTTGCAACGTTCAATGCCAGACCAGCTCCGTGCAGAGCTGAAAACAAAGGTTCATCTGCCGATTCCAGTTTTGCACGGGCTATGCATTGAAGAACTTTGCAGGGGTCGTTCTTAGAGGCAGCTCTTGCTTCCTCCACACAATCGTTCGCAGGAACCTTGGTTGAGTAGCGGCTTCATAGAACACCCTTTTTTCTATTTCAGGGCAGGGCCACTGAAGAAATCCGGTGGTTCACGACATTTAAAATGCACCGTTCGCTGATAAGCAACTCCTTTGGCGTAGGCTTTTGCGATGTGACGCACCGTGTCGCTCAGCTCATTGGCGTCACCTGGCTGCAGTGATGGTGCTTCTTGCAGAGACCGTGGGTGGCACTGCTCTTGGAGAAACATCTTGAAGAAGGAAGCTACCCTTTTCCCCTTAGGCAGTCGCAGGCTCTACGGCGTGTGTAGCAACACGCCCCTCCCGAACTGCTGAAACCCAGGCATGTCGACCCCTGCAGTAACAGGTTTCTATGTAAGCCTATATGATCTGTGTTCAACAACCTGTCAAAGCAGAACGGGGTTCCGACATCAAATGGCACAGAAACAGAGACGACCACTGCAGTCTAGAGCTGCGGTTTCACATGGTCTCTCACTCAGGCTTAACCTTCTGTCGCCTGGCTTTTGCCACGAAGATCCTTGGCAGGCACAGATCATATATTATGCCTGCGATGCTTGGCCCTCTTGGGAAGGTGCTTGGCGGAGGCTTCTGCGGAAGTAGCCATAGACATCCTGAGTGACACAACGAGCATGGTACAGTATATAAGAACAGGAGCAATTATATAATATGTTAGGTAACTGCATGTATCGCTTGTTCGATCCAGACAAAAGGATACTTGCTGTGAGGGGGGTTTCCATGCAATGCTCTGGAGAGTGGAGTTTGGAAGAAACAGGCCGCCTATATACTTTATGCTTTGCAGAGTTGTTCAAACATGGCAGAGTAGACCATTTTAAGGCTCGTGGACTCAAGGGAAGACCACTTTTTTTGACCCTATATATATGAAGCAACTTAGTGGTTTCAAGGGTGGAGTTTACACACGGTGCAGCACGACTGGATGCAGAAAAGCTTCACTTTGGTCAACTTCGTGAACTCAGCTTCCACCTTTTGCGAGATCCTCATGCAACAAGTTGCATTGCATGGAAACAAGAAATGATGAGCACAAACAACACTGCTTGGAAGCTTGGGTGAGTGGGATTGTGTAGTGCCGGCAAGGCACGTTTCACTGAAACCAGTGGTTTTCCCTTCCGCCTGCAATTCAGCCAATGTGTCATACGAGGCCTCAAGGTCTGCGGCATGCTTGTCAAGCTTGGAGACCGTCCTGCAAAGCGTTCATCCGAGGCAATTTCAATTACACCCTGCAGTTCGTGGCTTCGATCAGCATCAGCAAGCACTGGTTTGCCGAGTCGCTGTTTGCAGGCGGGGTCATCAGAAAGCGGGCGGATCTTGTCTAACAGGGCACAAATAGAGTTCTTGCTCTTCAACGTGTTCTTCAGGTAACTGGTCAGTCGTGCTTGTACCTGATATGCTATGGCCGAGCGGGGAATTGGTGGTGTCAGGGCAATGTGCACACACGTAAGTATACAAGCCCCTCCCCACGCACATGCATGCAGTCCAGAGACGCTTAAAGTCTTGTCTCCTTCGAGCTGCGGCATTGCAGCTCCAAGGTTTGGGAAACCACCTGTTGAGTCCAAATCAAGATCACCAAACTGTGTGCCCAACTCATCAGCTGTCACCTCCCCCCTCATGAGAGCAAGCGTGAGACATCGATTC